AACAAGGGCGCACATTACCATCTCATTATGGTTTGGGAATGGACGGTCCTCTCCGAGTCTCTCTGTTTATTCACGTATGGGCCTTGATGGCACGTTTACTTAAGTTCACTCACATTCCAAGGGTCAGGCCAGGCAGGACAGGAAAGACACAGACCTCCCCTGCTTAGGAGGACTCCTCTACATTTCAGAGCAATGAAGGGAGGATGACAAGGTCTCAGTGGTGCCCTTATAACAGACAAGGGTTCCTGGGCCTCAGCGGTCCTCAGAGCTGTCACTCCCATGCTGTGTGGCGTCCCCATTTCCTCCTCCCCATCACAGGCCTTGGAGGACAAGAGGAAGCAGATGCTACATGAACCCTACACTCTCTGTAGTGCTGTAACAGCCTCTAAATCCACAAGACTCATGTCCTCCTTACCGGTAAGGTCTAGAAAATGGGGACAGACAACCTGACAGTTGCTACTGCTTCTGTTTGGCCACCAATTGTATGTTGTCACTCCCATTTTGGCTTTGCATGACATCCCCAGAACAGGCAAGCAAGAGAAATTTATGAATGTAGTTTGAGTATGAGTTTCATGTTTGGTAGACTTTAATATCCCTTAGCCTCTTGTTTCCATATTGGCAAAATGGCGTTCTTACTGGGCATGGTAAAAATTTTGCATAAAACACTTAACCTAATGGCAGGCACATGGCCTTACAAAAGCCAGTTTACCTCCATCTCTTTAAGCCCAGAAATCAAATACTATTAGTTGCTTACCCATAATAAAATCCATTTGATGGCTTTTTGCTTTCTATTTAAAACAAAGGTTCTCTGTAACAAAATAATTTAATTTAAGAGTCTTATTAAAAGTAATTATAGGTGCTTTTTCATAGCAATATTTAAACAGCTTGCATAAAATAGTTGTTAATATGTAAAATTATACCAACATATAGAAGCTAGCTTACTGCACGAATAGGAATCTTATTTATCTTAATTCCACAGAGGAAAGAGGAAGAGGAACATCTATTAACCAACAATTTGCCACTTTAAATGCATTATCTTATTTAACTTGGAGCAATTTTATGATTTTGCAAATAAGAGAAGAGATGCTGGGGAAGTTATTAAGTAACTTGTACAAAGTTTAGAGTAGAAGGACCAACATTGGGTCTATTCAACTTCAAAACATGAACTTGCCTCCTAACAGATTCTAGGAGGCCAATGATGAAAGTGGCTACACCTCTTGACTTTGAGGTGTAACACCTCACCTTTCCCTTCCTTCAGAATGCTAAGTAGGTTCATACTTGGAGTGCTCTTGGGTTTCTTCCAAGTTTTTAATTGTATAATTCAATATGCAAATTATATTCTAATTTTTTCTTTTATTCTCAAGAGGACATAGCAAAAGAGCTGGGGATGAGAGTAACCATGAGTGGCCATAGGATGTCTTGATGGATATTTGGTTTATCACATTTTAGGAAATCTATCTCCTGAAACCTCTTGATTCAGAGGGACACCCAGTCGTGTGTAAGAAGCTCCCACAGCTGTTCTCCCAGACTCCTCACACTCTGCTGTGGTGCCTGACCACACCAGGTGTGTGCAGCAGGGAAAAAGGCCTGTGTCTTCTGGGATGTTCTGGTATCTTCCTCCTAGTACCAAAGACAGAGGGCGTGGGAGCCTCCCTGAGGAAACAGAAGCAAAGAATCTAGACAGACTTCTTTCTGGTCACATGCAGAGCAAAATTTCTGGGTGTGGGTGTGGAGGGGGCCAGGGGCCAACTCTGCCTCACCCATGCCTCAGGCAAAAGTTGATGCCTCAGTTGGAGCTGAGGAAGTGATGAGCATCAAGTTATAGGATAACTAGTGACCTCGTGTGCCATGTGTTGAAGCTGTGGCTCCTAGTCCACAGACCTATGAGAGGAGCGGACTTTTAAAAGAGGTCTTCTCATCATTGAGAGGAGGGGGGCCTGATGGGGACAGAGGGGCCTCAGTTTCTTCCTTAGCCTATTCTGTCTCAGTCTCCAGGGTAGCTTTGCTGTGCCTCATGCTGCCTCCATGATGCAAGTGTTTGTTATAGGCTTAAAAGCAACGGGGCTAAGGTAGTGCAGTCTAAAACCTCTGAAACTGTGAGCCAAATCAAACCTTTTCTCTTTCTAAACTGATTGTCTCAGCTATTTGTTACAGTAACAGAAAGTTACCACAACAGTAAAATATTCGTCTCCATATACTTCTCTCTTGAATATTCTGATAGTAATTCTGACTGAGTAATTTCTGCCTGAGAAGTGTTTGACAACACAGAAGAATGGGCATCTGTGTTGGGTTTTGAGGTTTTTTTTTTTTTTTTTTCTCTTTGTTTTAATGTTTTGAGAATGGTATAGCACCTCTCATTAGGGAAATTGCTCAATAAATGCATTTAATTTGATGGGGCTGCTATTGCCAGCACTATAGGCTCCACTCTTTAGCATCTGTTCTAGAGCAAACACACCCCAGGAGAGAGACCACTGGCACCACATACAGCGACAGCATCCTAGGTAAACGGATGCTCCTGCCACTGATATCCTCGTCATGGCCATCCCCTCTGCCTTGCTGAATGATTGCTCCAGCATTTCCCTCCCTCCCATAAGCCTCTCTTCCTGTTTATACTAGAGCTTACAAAGTGAAACAAAACAAAATCTTAACAAATAGATTTTCAATTATGTCATGGAGGTAAAAAAAAAAAAAAAGATGTTATTTAAAAGCAAAACTAAAAATTTGCTTTTGAGTTGAAGGGAGGGTGGTTTCAGGCATATGGAGACATGACTCTGAGCTGCCTCCCTTTCTTTTGCAGCAGCTGGAGGTGAGGGATGAGGAGAAGGAGGTACATCTCCCAGCAGCTGCAAAGAGAAGCACAGGGATGCGCTGAGATAATAGTGCAACTGTTCTTCCTGACAAGGTGGTAGAAACTGCTAGAAGACAGGAAGCCAAGCAGTATGGAGGGAGACTAGAACTTAAAGAGAAAGAAGCCAAAGGGATTGTGAGAACGAAGACAATACATTTAATATGAAGCAGCACGGATTGTTTGCTTCAGAACAAGCCCAGAATTCATTTGTCTTGGAAGGTGTCTGCCTTGCATGTTTCTTGTATGAGTGGATGGGACTGTGTATGTGTCACACGAGTGCTCACAGTTAGTGAGCTGGGGTCAGGATCCATCTGGTTGCTGTAGAACATGGCTGGGGAAAAGCAGAGCCAGGGTGTGTGTAGGGGATCCCTAAATAACCGACCGGAGCAGAGAGGTCACCTTCACTTCCCAAGAGGCTTGCCCGGAAGTGTAGCCTCACTTTAGCCTCAGGACTTGAGCTAACATCTACCTTGCATGACTGCAGATTCATTGACAAAACACGTATGCTTTGATAGTGCAGGAAGGAACCGGGAGAACAAGTGGGGAAAACCTCTTTTCTTCTAGAGCAGAGACTGGCAAACTGCGGCTGTTCCTGTAAGTGAAATCTTACTGTAATAGGACTATCCCATCCTTTATGTTTCCTGCAGCTGTTTTGCCCGTGGGGCTGGACTGCTGTGCCGCGGAATCCACAGGAAGCACAAGGCCTTATGTTTCTTATTCTCCAGGCCTGTAGGAAAAAGATTGCCTGTCTCAGCTCTGGAGGCCAGAGGCAACCTGTCGGCATCCCATCAGTCTGCCTGTTGGTTAGACAACGTGGGAAGGGCTCAAGGAACAGAGGAAAAAGTCTCATAGTTGGCCTGTAAACTCAAGGTGCACTTACACTTACTCCATGAGAAAAGAAACGATGTACAGGAATGCTTTAAGGACAGTCTTTGGTCTGTGGACTTCTTTTCTCCTATACAGACAGGTAAGAGCGGTGGGCCTGGACTGTCCCTGTGGCAACTCCCCTAACCCGTGGCTTCCCATCCTACTTTTCAGTTACCTGTGTTCAAATTCAGTCCAAAATCAAATGGAAAAAAATCTGGGAAGAAACAATTCATATATTTTGAGTGTCTGAGGAGCAGGGTAAAACCACCTAAGGGTCACAGATCATCCTTGCCCAGTGTTTCCATGTTGTAGGCACTGCCCACCATTGGCCACTCGGTAGCTATCCAGGTTATCGGACGGACCACTGCCATAGTACAGCTTTGGTGTTAAAGCAGCCCTGACGTGGCAGCCTACCCCTGGGTCATGACGCTTACATCGTCTGCCTATTTCATCTCGTCACACACAGGTGCTATCACTTCATCAAAAGGGCGACAGTGGTACAATAAAATACTGAGAGAACTCCTAGTTCTACTACGTTTTAAAAGCCTTGGGGGAGGGTTGAGAGGTAACTACAGGTAGGCTTTGTTTTTAACAACATTGTTTAGTGGCAAAGTACACATTTTACCAGCAATGTTAAAAGTTGGATGATAAGGCACATTGGAAAGCTAATTCTTTTAATCCTACTTAAAAGGAGCCTATTTTACATATAAATAAATCTGAAAACTCTGGACTTTGAAGTTTTCACTGCCAATAATTTTTGAGAAACATGAAGTTGTTTTCCCATGCAGGGGCACTGCCAAATACAAGACCATTCTCCCAGACCAGAACCCACAGTTCAACAAATGACCAGGCCATCACAAGTGCAAACGTACAACCCCTCTAAACAAACAAAACTCTGCAATTTAAGATGTGATTCCCAGTTGTTTCAAGTGGCCAAAAATACATAGACCATACCGAAATGTACAGCAAACTTTGTGGACTACAAAGCACACATTAAGGATAAAAGTGTGTGGTAGAACTAAAATGAATGTCACCAGATGATCTGAGAATTCAAATGCTACTATTAAAAAAAATGGGTGATACTGCTCATTTAAAAGTTTTCCAAACGTTCCAAATCTCTGGAACCCACAATCCAGGGAGGCGGACAGCCAGGTTCAAAGCCAGGAGCACAATCCCATATTGCAACAGGGGCTCATGAAAATGCTATTCTGTTCTCCAGGATGGATTCTTTGAAGACTTTAAATTATCCCCCGTGCTCCAATTTCTTAATCGGTCATGGTATCTTTTACTTTGAAACTGTTCTTGATTTGGTGCTCAGCATGGTTTTGGCAGCTCGCTGCTCCTTGAGGCCTGGATTGTGACCGAGATGTCGCTCGCGTCCTGCCTGCAGCCGCTGCCGCCCTCTGATCAAGGCTTGCATATACCACTGTTCCTCCTTCGCCCGCTGCTGCTGCTTCTCCAGCTGGCTGCGCACAGCTTCCGCCTCGCGGTACTCCTGACTCAGTTGCTGGAGCTCCTTCCGGAGCTGCTGCTGCTCTCTGTGGAGGCTGCCACAGAACTCAGAGTGGGCCTGGTTGGCTGCCAGCGCCAAGGCCCTGTACCTCCTCGTCAGCCCCTCGGTGTAGATCTGTCTCAGCTCCACCGAGTTCAGTTCGGCCAGCTCCTTCTCCATCCTTGCCTTTTCCCGCAGGAAGTGGACGTGCGCCTCCCGGTCCTTGGCCGCTGCCTCCCCTCGAATTTTCTCGATCTCCTCCTCCAAGGTCTGTATTTTCATGTCCTGCCTCTCCTTTACCATGCAAACCGGCTTCAGCGCCTGTAGCTGCTGCTTCAGGTCCTTCTGGGTCTCCTTGCCCCGTAGCAGCTGGGCTTGAAGGGCTGCATTCCTCCGGGTATATCTGGACGCCAGTTCTTGCCTCCTTTGTTCTACCTCGCCACATTCCTGCACATACTGCTTCCGCAGGGCCTCCTGCCTCTTTTCGCACCGTTCTTTGTTTTTACGCAGGTATTCCATGAAAAACTGGTTCTCAGCCTGCACCCGGTATTTTTCCTCTAGTAGCTGCCTGGCCTCCTCCAGCAGCCTTTCCCGCCGGTCTTTAGTTTCTTGGATTTGCTGGCTCAGCTCCTTCAGCGCCACCACCGTCTTCCTCTTCACCCGTTTCTCCAACCTCGTTAGCAACTTTGGCTTGAGATACATATTTAGAACAGTTAGATATGGTGTGGGCGGAGGGTCATTTCTAGGGCTCTGGGCAAGCATGCTCCCGGAATCCCAGGTCAGGAAACGTGACTGCAAGGGAGCAGGCCCGGCTGGTGGGGGTCACTCCAGGGCACAGCGTCCTGAGCAGAAGTTCCCAGGGTTTCTCCCGCTGGTAGTCAAGGTGACCAAGCCACACCCAGTCTGCCAGGAAGTCGCCAGGCTCACCCAGAGCAACGTCAGAGTCCGTCCAGGGCTGGCCCAGAGCTCCTGGCTTGAGGCTGGTGAACCCTGTCCCGGGAACCCCTCTGGCCTTGCTCTCCTGAGGACCAGCACTCTGCACTCTCATGCCCTTTTCATGGGTCAGCGCCCCCTTCCAGGCTCTGCCATCCCTGCCGCATTTTGAGAGCTCAGTTGGCCCCAGCCTGATGTCCTTCCCCGGAACCCTAGCTTTAGGGTGGAAAGGATGGATTCTTCATGCTAGCAGAGGTATAGCCGGCTCATCTCTGCAGCGCTGAGGGTGGCTCTGCAGGATAAATGCCGAGACCTAGGGCCGGGGCAGGTTGGTTGCGTGAGTTCCCTGTGTATCATTGAGAAAGGCAGCATTGGAGAAACTGCCTTTGTACAGGGCACAGCCAGAAGAGCCTGTGCCAGGTGGAAGGGCAGGAGGAAAGAAAGGTTTCTAAAGAACTGGAGGGCCCAGGCTATGGCCTCTCATAGCCTTGCCGTTAATTCCTTCAAGGCGCCTTCGTCTAGGAGGCTGTCTCAAGTGCATCCTCCGGGCATGCTTGGTACTGCTGATCCTGTAGTGAGGAAGACAGTGAGCTAAAGATGAAATCGCCGGGTTCTTGAAGCCTAGGGCCTATCGATAACTCTAGAAGGCAATAACCTATCTTCTGCCATTAGTGAAGCGGGGACTATGGTAAATGCCTCCATCTTATCTCTTGGCTATAATGGCATTCGACTTTGGGCGGCTGAGGAATAAGTCTCCCAGACAGCCGGGGCTGTGGTCTGTTGCCTGCACAATGCTGTATCATACACGAATTCATGTGATCTTTTCAAACTTTGTAGGTGTGGAGTACATTGTTTCTCCCACCTCAGCCATGAGAGAAACTTCACAAGGCACAGAAGCGAAGAACTCCCCAGAGGCCACATCTAAGGAAAGAATAAAAACTCAGACCTCTTGGGTTAGGATAGGCAAGTTTTAATCTAGCCTCATTTCTCAAAACAGTTCCTGCAGAAACCCCACCTCTTTTTCTTATTCCAAATATTTTAATTTTTGTTAAGACTTTAAGTCACACATTATTGTCATGATATGTGAAGCAATCTATTCAAGCTTCTACAGGGATACTAGAAAGTATACCCGTCTGATCCGTCAAACGGGCAGATAGACTGACACCCATTTCCTGGGCCAGCTCTGGATTCTAGGCATATAGCGTTCAGTGTGCCTAGAATTTTGGAGATTGTAACACCCTTCCCCGATGTACAGCCAGCACTTCATGGGGTTGTGGCTGTGCCGGGAGGGAAATCATACTCTGTCACAAATGCCTTAGGGTGGGTGGGGGAGAGGAAATCACACTCTGCCACACATGCTTCCTGATTATCCTTTCTTTCTGTTAAACAGTCACACTGTTTGGTATCCAAACCAATGCCAGAAAGTTCTGACAGCTGGCGGGACAGTATCAAGTCCAGGCCTCACTTCATTGAGAGGGGGTGTGGCTGAAGTTAACAGGGGTTTCAAGCCAGGTCTGTACAAGCACCAATGGCCTGGCACCCGTAAAGTTCATATAGAACATCTAAGATGATTTAGGTCAGACATCATCACTCAAGAGTTCTAAACCAGATTTAAGATTCCAGGGAATTGGTTTCTGTGGATATAGGATTGCTGCTTTAAGAACTGTCCTCTGATTACCTTCCCTCCCCCTCACAAAGAATCCCTCTGCCTAATGCTTGGGGAGCTCTGAGCGGCCCATCAACCGCTAATGTAGTTAAAAGGCCTGCCCAGCCCCTTGAACTTGACTGTGCTTGGAATGTCCATATCTGGGAATGTACAGTCTGCCTCAGAGCAAGGGTCGAGGGGTCTGCTCTTTCTGCAGACCCAGTTCCTAGCAGAGCCAAAGTTAAGGGAGACTGCAGACTCTCTTCATGCTGTTCAACGTCTCCCTCCTTGACTGCAAACAAGGCCTCTTTGAGTTTGTGAAAATAATTGCCACGATAATGCTGATGGCCACCACTGGCTGAGCTCATGCTAAGTGCCAAGTGTTCCCGGATATTAGGTTGTAGTTGCCAGCGTGGGGTTGAGACAGTTTTACAGGCAAGGAGGTTGAGGCTCTAAGAAGTGCCATTCTTGTCCAGGATTGTAGGTAGTTGGGTCTGTCTGTCCCCACGGCCCCTGACTCCTTGGCAAGACTGTTACGCCCTCACAGGGAGCTAGATCATTAATTCCCTAACTTCGCCAGGATTCTTCTAGCTATGTCTTCGCAGACTGGCTTCCTTGAGGTTCTGGTCTGGGTGTTCTAGGCAGGGAAGAGGGATGCACGCTTGATTCAATGATTCTTGCCAACAGAGAGTTTGACAAACACTCCGGTCATATTCCCTCCTCCCACAGCCCCAAGCCGTGACTCAGCCTGTGCCGGATGTGTCGGAGATGTGAAGCCACACGGCTTCTAGAGTCACTGTACCCATAAAATCTAAATATAAAAAGACAAGCAGCCCAAGTTGGGTAATGGCTTCACTTCCTATGGTCCTGCCTTGATTTCCTGGAGACTCAGGATGCGAGATACAGACTAAGGCCCCTAACTGGGATAATTGCGCTAAATCATCTGTTGGAGACTGGCTTTAGCAGATGCCAGCTGTGGAGACAGCCCAAATAAACCGAGAGAGCCTCAGCATGGCAGCACAAACAGATATCTCCGGCCTCGAGACTCACGCGGCAGTGAGGCCAGCCAGAGTGCGCTGGGCAAGTCTCGGGTGGATAGACAGCCTTAGCGTGGCTCCCAGACCAAGAGGGACAGTACAGGACACTGGTGCCATGCAGAGCACCACGGCAGACGATTCAAAAAGCCTTCGGTCTAAATTGAGACAGAAAACTATGAGAAATCCTCATGCTGAGGCGCTTACAAGGGTTAAAAGAAAGCTGCAGAACAAGTCCATCCCCAGGCACACAGCAAACCTTCTTCAGAAATAAAATAGAAAGGGGGAGGGACTTTATCTAATGTTCTGAAATTAGATACACACAGAACTTGAAAGTTTCTTTCCTGGTTGTCTGGGATGAAAAACGTCTGGTCCTACAGTCACCCCTAGGGTCCTTTCCTCTCGAGTCATCTGCTCTAATAGCTCGTTCTAATGATTCCGATTCTTCTTATTTAGAAGATGTGTCCGTTTGAAGAATTAGGTTCAAATGTATGTGATGGAGATATATAGACAGTAAAATTAGCTTGGAAAAGAAAGACGTTCTGGGCTGCAGAAGTGGCTCAGTGGGCAAAGTGCTTCCTGTGTGAGTGTGAGGATTGAGTTTGGACCCCTCCCCGCAAAGGCTACGTAAAAGCTGGGAGCAGCAGTGTCCCTCTGTAACCTTTGTGCTGGGGCTGCTCCGGAGGAGAGGTCCCGCTGGAGATGGGCAGCTCCTGGCATCCTGTTGAACACCGACGTAGCTGAGATGGTGAGCTGATGGTAAGCTCCCTGTTCACTGAGAGGCCGTGTCTCAGATAAGATGCACCGTGATAGAGCCAAACACGCAGTGACAACTTCTGACCTCCATAGCTGCACACACACACACACACACACACACACACACACACACACACACAGAGAGAGAGACAGACACACACTAAGTAAATGTGTAGCTTTAAAAAGGTTGGTCATTTTATCATGAAGGCAGTTAGTAACGTCAGCGAGCAGTCATTTTCCCATAAGTCATTGTGTCTCAGCACAAAGAAACAGGTCATAGGTCATATTGCTATAAGACTGGCTGTGCAAGGTAGGACAGGGTGACTATGGGGCTCTTGGGATAAGTCTCTCTCTTGTGTTTCCTCTGACTCAGGGTCTATCAGGATAAACTGTCCTCCTCTACCCTCATTCACTCTTTGCACCCCAATGCCACCTCCCACAAGGAGTCTTGGAAAAGCTGTGCCAAGTGCCCAGTGAGACTTTAAGTCCCTCCTGGATCCTGTAAACATGTTAGTCACTGATCCAAGAAGGAGGTGCACACCTGCCGCTGCCAGGGACATTCTGGAGGGTAGACATTTCCTGGAACCCGGGCCGGCAGCTCCGTTGGTGTTGGCACGATTGGGCTCCACCCACACGGACACTTCTCGTCAAAAGTGCTGTGGCTCTTCCGTTCCTACTGTGGCAAACATGCTCCACCCATCATCCTTGGTCCAGAGTTCAAGTTTGCTCATCTCGCTGTTCTCAGCGGCTCAAATGAGGCACCATGGCGGGATGGCTGTGGGGAGTGCTTGCCTGCCTCAGGGGGTTGAGTTTTCAGTTGGGATTTGCTCAGTGCCACTTGGGTAGAAGGACTTGTCATACCCGTTTTTCAGATGAGGAAACAAAGGCTCCAGGCAGCTGCTTGCTCAATGTTGAACCCATAAATAAGTAGTATAGTCAGGTTTTAGGTGTCAATCCTTTTTACTCCAGAGAGGGCTCACTCTCCCTTCCCTGTGCCTCCTCAGCTTCTAAGGAACTACCCAGATACACCCATCAGGCCAACACACTTCTTGATGCCATTCATAGCTAGATGAAGCCAGAGCACAAGCATATGGCTGTGAGTACTGCAAGAGCACCTTGCTTGCTTTTGCTCTGCCCTGTGGGAACTGAGCAAGGCAGAGGACTTCCATACTACGTGGATCTTGGCCAGTTGCTCCAAAGCGGAGTCTGCCCAGTGGCAGCCTGCAAGTGCTAAGTAGGGTTTTGGTGTGTGTTCGTTTTCCTTTAGAGTCCCACCTCCCTGGTACTTTTAAGCAGTTATCAGTGATGCTAATGAGCCAGCAAGGGTGCCCAGTAAGGGATAATTTATTCCCTTCTCCAGAAGCTGAGGCCAGCACCTCCTTGATGACAGACAA